ACACCCTGTAGACGCGGCTTCTTGTTCGCCTATTAACCGCCAGTAATGACGCGGCGGCATCTTTCCGTACGATCGGCGCGGAGAGGATTCTCGAAAATTACTTTGCGAGCGCGGTATGCGTCGTAGGTACATACATACGTCGGCAACCGGCGTTTAAAGACGAGGATCGGGGCCTCCTCCCGTGGGACGTGACGCGCCGCAAAAAGGCTCGTACGAAGAAGTACGTGCGTGATGACGGCACGGACGTTGGACGCATTGTCGTGGGTAACGAGATGAATTCGCGATTTTTATTCAGCCTCCCGAAACGCCAGGATGCGCATCTCGATGGAAATTTGTCCCCCGCTCGAAATGTAAAATGGAATTTACAAAGATATTCCGATTTTTCCCGAAGTCCAAAAATATAAGAAACTTTTAATAAGCTCGTGAAACTTGCAAATTCGCAGTCTTTTTGGCGTTTTTATCGGATATTATTTCCTTCTTTTATTTGCTCCTTTTTTTCCTTATTGGCGATATTATTTCGTATAATTTTCTTTTTTATTTGCTCCTTTTTTTTTCTCACGCTCGTTTACGCTTAAAACTCCATTACGCGCATTGGCTGCGCTTGATAATCTTAATCGTCTCGTTCTCTCTAATGACTCGCGGGCGCGGCGGATGTCTCGTTCGCACTTCGCGTATCGCGCGCGACACGGCATGCGTTCCCATGCGTGGCGGAGCTTCATCTCTCGGGACGCGTCTCTCTCGCCGAGGATTTATTCGCACGCGGCGGGCGATGCGCCGCTCGGGCATCGGGCTGCCGAGCCGAAGCAGAACGGCGAGCATGCGAGGCGAATTTATCACGCGGTGAACCCACTCGCTGCGCACTACACAGTCGACATCGTAAATCGGTTTGGGAAGTGGTCCAAGCGTTTGGCCGAGTCGTGTCAGCGAAATCGTATAACTTCGACGGGCCGACCGCGTTTGTCGGAAAGCCCGGTCCCAGTGGCGTCGGGACTTCAACGCCTTTTGCAGGAAATTTCATCGATCGGTGAAATGGGTCGATCAATTTTCCGCGCGAATCCTCGAATTAAATGTGGCGATTTAATTCGGATCTTTGTCTCTAATAAAATTTTAATTATTATGATGACAAGGGCTATATTACTCTGCACTGTTTTAAGAAAAGAATAAAGATGTTAATTATTTTTTAATTTTGAGGAGACTTTTGAAAGTATCTAGCGCTTTTCACTTCAATTGCAGTTATTAAGATTGATTAGATAATGTAGAATCCTACTCTTCACTTAAGATAAAATTTAGAAGAATGTCAGAAAGATATTGAACAAATTAAAAAATTAACATTTTTAAGGGAGCAAGAATATTTTGACATCAAATTTATACACCATGCAAAGCACGCCATTGCGAAGTAACAAATCCATCGTAAAGGAGAGAGGCTCGACGAGAATGTCGGTCGGGGCAACGCGATAAAACGCCAATATCAAAGACCAGAAGTCGTTCGAAACTCGCGTCCGGTATCGCGGATTTCAAAGACCCGCGCGAGATCCGCTCGTAAAATGACGACGACGCCGCCGCGAATCGTCAGGCGGACCGATGACGAGAAGCGAATGCAGACAGGGGAGGAGATGCAGGACGGAGACGGAGGTGGCGAGATGTTGTCGAGGGAGCGAGGATGCTGACGGCGATGGTGACGGTGGCGATGGTGGCGGGCCAGATGTTTGGCTAATGATGTCAGCGGAATCGTAACTAAAACCGAGGCGGCCCCGGGCTTAGCATCGGCTTAGCCTCAGCTTTGAAGGAAAGAGTCTTATTACCCGGGGTCTCTGCACGTGCTGCTCGTGAGCGCGAAACCGTAGGGTAATTGGACCACCCACTCGACGCACCAAAAGTGCCACTCTCCTCTCGCCGCCTTCCTTCCTCCTCTTCTTTGTTTTTTTTCCTCCTGCTCTTTTTCCTCCCGGGTCTCTCCGAGGAGCGCGAAAACGGCGACGAGCTTTCGACGAGCAGATAAACTGAAAGTCGCGCGACGACTTCCAGTCCGGACGGTTGCCAATGCAAGTTTGCGACGGACGGGATACGTATCTTCGAACTTATCGAGAATACTGGTTTATCGCGACTCGTGAAGTCATCAAGACTGCCGATAAATCCGGCTAGAGCATATGACAGGAACGAGTATGACGACTGTCTTGTATATGCGGGGGAGGGAGGGGAGTTTATTATAGATTACAGATGTTATTATAAGAGTAACTTTTCTCCGGAGAATCTCTTCAGGGGAATGTTGCAAATGAGAAGATACGACATGCCTTGTCTAAAAAAGGAAATGCATTACATCAACTTTGAAACTATTATCTTTATCTCTTTGAAAAACTTTGTAATATTTTATTTTAACGTTAAATAATATATTATAATTTATGGTATATTAAATTATCGAATGGACGATAAAGCGCGATAATTTTCCTTTTAATTGGGCTATTATCGTGGAAATGCGACGCCTCGTTTGCTTCCGAGTTTTGGAGCAGCGCGGATTAATTGGACCACCTACGGGTAACCAGAGTTGCGACAAGCGGCTCCCTTTTCCAAATAAATACACGCGTGTTGTGCCTCGTCTAGCGGGGATTTTACGAAAGACATCGGTGCCCCAAGTCAAAGTAGTAGGAGCGTGTCGTTCGGACGAGCCGCATCACATCTCGTCCGTGACACTCGACCCGGAAGACAAGGTTGATTTATGCCTGCTGGTTCGCCAGACGGAAATTGGATGGGTCCACGTCGAGGAATATCATTGCGTTTGTTTGACATTTTTATGTGGTACCGCCGATGTTCTCCGTCTGTATTCGAGCGCCAGCGCGCCTGGGAAGGCGCTAATTAACGCGTCGTCTAATCACCCAATTACCAAATTTAAACTTGTTTTCGACCAACCAACACCTTTGGCATGTCTGGAAAGTTTATTGAAAAAAATCGTGCATTCGTATCCTCACAACACTCACCGCAGATATAATTAATCCTTTAAGAATGTAAGCATCATAAATTTATTTCAATTTTCTATAGTGAATTGTATTATTTTTATGACAGTCTTACTTATTTTTAATATATATTTTTATAAAAATTTCTATCTAAAATAGTACACATCATTTATATATCTTTAAATTTCAATATTTCTAAAAAATTTACTTATTGTCAGGATAATATTGCTAACATAAAAGATTAATACATTATATTAATTTATATTTTTAATATATATTTATATAAAAATCTCTGTAAAATAGTACACATCGTTTATATAATATTTTTAAAAAATTTACTATTGTCAGGATGATATTGCTAACATACATAAGATTAATACATTATATTAATTTATATTTTATAATCATTTATTTCAAAATCAAGCATTTTTTAAAACTTGTGTTTTACTATTATTATTATTATTATTATTATTAATTATTATCAGTAAATAACACATCGTGCGCGTTATAGAAAGATAGATAAAATAAATATAAGAAATTTAACGGCTCTTTCATCAGAATGTCATCGCTTTTGTTCGTCATGAGCATTTTGTATCTTGCAAACGTTGTCGTTTCGCGCTTAAACGTGCGGAAAATCTCGTCGGTTCAACACGCCTCTTTCTGTTTGAAAACTTTGCGACAGTTTTGGAACAGGTATCCTCCGGACAACGAAATTTGTCTTCGGACGAAAGATGGAGGATATGCGACGCGCATTACCGGCTTCGATGCCGAGAAAACGGGGCCACCTGTGCATCGTCGACGTCGTGGGTGGGCCTCGTAGGTAACGCGAAACACATTCAACTTAAGGCACAGAGCCGACTTAGGGTAGATTTCCGTGGGGTTGGCGTAGACGAGAGCGGAACGGAAAAGGAAAACAGTCCGACCACTTAAGGGGTCTACTACAAACGTGACGATGTGTAGCTCAACACACGTAGACAAGCTTTTTTGAATTTCCTGCCATTGACCACTATGCTCGATTTCTCGAGTATCGAGCATGAACAAAGCACTCTTTGCCCTCGCAGCGAAAGAATTTGCTAACATGGCAAAGGATATTCCAGTGGCACTATTATGAAAAGATAGAAGATTGTAAAAAGAAAGAAAATTATCTCGTATTTTACGAAGAAAATGGTGAAAGAAGCCACTTATGATCAAGGGTACGACAATGGAAAGTATTGTGTAACTCTAAAAAAACTCCAAAACTATACAACGTTATAAAAGAGTACATTATATACACAATAGCTTTGTTTTTAATATTTTATTATATATTAGGATTTAGAGAAACATTTCTTTTACTACATTTCATTTATACGCATTAGTTTTATATATATATATATAGTACATAAGTTTTACTTACATAATAGTTACCATCTAATAATTGTTCTGACATAATTTTACAGAAATACAGTCGGCTCTTTTGATTGGCGATAAATCGACAAATTCTTCAATCTATCGTACAGTAGAGACATTTTGTCGAAGGATTAACTGTCGTACGCTGTTCGTGTCAAGCAATATCGCTTATCTCATCTCGATTCGAAGTAATATCTGATTCGATTCAGACGATGAATCAACCACCTCGAGTTTCTCCTAATATTTTTCACAAAAATTTCGGTGCATCGATTCGTTCTCGTAACAGCGAGGATTCACCCGTGCATCAGCGCCGCGTTCCCCTATCTCTTGCCTTGAATCCTCCCGATTCCCTACCACTCGTCTCTCCTTTCCCCATCGCGGTGGTAGGTATATCGTTTCGCCGCCTTCTTCTAATTTTACGAGCCGTTGACTTCCGATCGATGGAACGAACCGTTTCGAAACAGCCGGCCGTTTTCCGCCACGCGCCGTTGACCGTACGGTGACGTAATTTTCCCCGAGCGAAGCTGAGCGCCGGGTAATAAGATCGGTTAATGTGCGAGAGATCGTCCCGATGTTTAATGCGAATCCGAGGGCGACCGGATCTTCGATTCCCGATCTCTTGTTCGCTACGTTACTAATCGACTGCCGCTTTTCCGCCTGTTACAGATCACGAAACTCAAGATCGACAGTAATCCGTTCGCCAAGGGCTTTCGAGATTCTTCTCGTCTTACTGACTTTGAGAGGTAAGTTACTTGATAATAAACTTATATTGAAACGGCAAGTTTAGAGTGTCTGTAATTATGAAATAATTTAAAATTGTGTATGCACAAAATTAATATTAATCTAATGTCAATCTTATGTCTCTTTTATAACGGATTTTATAGTTCTCTCAAAATTACATTCATATATCTTTTTTATCTTTTCTATGTTGAAATATTATATTTTTAAAATTAAATTTATTTTCATGTTGAAGTATTATATTTTTTTAAATTAAATTAAATTGAACATAAAGTTAAAATTATGCGTGTTTAAAATTGTCAAAGGGGCTACCGTTTAAAAAAGGATTATTAATTTTAGAAAACTGGACAAAAGCCTATATTGAAAAATTAAATGAAAGAGCCTGAGACAATAAATAAAATTGAGACAATAAATAAGTTAAAAATTAAAATGGGAGCCTGAAATATAAAGCTAAAATTCTATTGGTCGGTCTATCAAAGTTCTTTAAGCGGCTGACGCTTAAAGAACTTCAAGATCATTAATTTTACAAGCTGCACAAAAACCTATGTCAAAAAAAATTAAAAATGAAAGCGTGAAATAGGCCGTATAGACACAAAAATATTTAAAATGAATTTTTTGAAGATTTACAGTTAGAAAACGCAATGCATAATGGAGCAGTTTCCCTTTTAGAGAAACGATGGAGTCAATGTTAGCGGAGCAACAGTCGTTGAGGTTTCCACATCGATTGCCTTTCGAGATGGAGCAGCTCCAGGCGGGCGCAGTAAGCAACCTTAGTCTAGAGGAGAAGGCTTTATGGGCTGCACGTTCTCAGATGTTGTTAAGGGCGGCGGCGGCCGTAGCTGTCAGTCCCTATGCTCAATTGGTCAGTCCGGCTTTGGTCTATCCTGGCGCGCCGACAGCTGGTACCAGCCATCAACAACAGCAGCAACAACAACAGCAGCACCAACAACAGCAGCAGCAGCAACAACTGGGTCACCTATGGTGGGCCTCGTCAATTGGCCCGACTTTGTTCGCGGCGGCGCATCATCAACAGCAGTTGGCCGCTACCACCTCGCAGCAAAATCCGACATGTCCCGCCGCCCCACGACCTCTCTATCCGTCGCCGCTCGCCCTAGCTCACCATCGATTCTCGCCCTATCATACGACGACCGCCCCCAAGTCCTCGACACCGGCTGTGCCGTCGCCGTCGCCGTCCAGAAGGGCTACCCCGTCGCCCACAGATAGTCTCAGCAGGGAGGCTCAGGACCTATCGCCCTCGTAGTCGCCGGCTTTCCTCGCTTAGAGAAGTACTGGTCGTGAATTTCTCGATGAAAAAAGGTTTGAGACTTTTTATTAAACACTGTGTGATGAAAAAAGCCGAATTTCCGAATGTAAAGGATTTCGATAAATTGGGCCATGAATTTGGCAGTTGCGATTTGTTTTTTACGGAGAAATGTGCAATTCCTTCTCAATGAAAGCGAGCTTTTCTCGACTGAGACCAAAGCGTGATCGATTCGCTTTGTAATATTCTTCTTTCACGAAGAAATGGAGAAACTTCACGCGCGGTGAGAATCGATTTCCATCGTATCACTCTTGCTCAGCTTAAATTATTCCTTTTCTTTCCTCTTTTTAGATTTTTAAAATATACACCAATTCTATAAAATTGGTTACAACATTCTTTTCAAAAGAATGTACAAGTGCAATATTTATTAAATTAATATTAACTTATAAATTATTATACTTTCTTGTCTTTATTATTTTTTAAGGAGCCGGTCTCCATGCCGTTAGACAAAAGCATAATGACTATGTAAAAAAACATTCATATTGTAAAGAAAACATTAATTGTTATAAAATATTTACGCAACGGAGATCGATTTTCGTCGCGCGTGTCACGCTTCGCATAGTAATGGAAGGAGGATGTCGAAGCCGGTATTGACGATATACTCGCAGAACTCGCGGCGTGAATAGAGACGATAATTGTGGTGTCAGAGATTCTCGGCGGCGCAGTCGAATTGCTTTCCGTCTCTCTCCCGCGCCGCGAAAGAAACGCGGGGAAAGAAACGTAAAGCTCACGCTCTCCGAGAGAGCCTGAGCATGCCGTCTCTCTCGGCTGAACTCTCGACCTTTGGCGAGCGTGGTGGCAAGCGCAGAGGACTCGAGCCGTCTCACGTGACTCGACGATTCCGTTGTCTCTCGACCGGACCTTGGGACCGAGAGGCGCCCGACCTGTGTATATCCTTGCCTCGATCAGCGATCGGAAGCGATAGGATCGCCGCGATCTTGGTAGTCAAGATACACCTACGGATACACTTTGAAAGGGAAACGATATCATTACAAAAAATCTGTTACACTTGCAGAGGACGCGCCGAAAATAAGGTACCGTGTTGTATCTTTAATTTCAATTCTTTTTCACTTTTTAAGATACATTGTTTACATTGATTCTTGTGGTAATTCTTAAAAAAGAGACAGAAACCATAAAAGGAGATACTCAACTGTATAATTCGAGATATTTTATAGACACTTTTAATGGCATAATTTTCGTTGCATAAACATATCCGATATTTCTACGTAATGTCTGAATATTGTATTGAAAATTATTTTTTTTTTGCATTTTTTTCGCATTTTTTTCAATGCAGATAACATCGCGCGTTGTTTCAAAATTGTGCGAACGATCGCAAAGATCACGGCGGCGTTTAGCGAAATTCACGCTGTACGCGTGAAGAGTACGCGAATGTTGTAAATATGTAACCATCTTGGCTCTAAAAGCCGGCATAATTTCCGTACATGATACACGTATATACAACAATCTTTAAGGGTAACTAAGTTGTACGGCGATTAAAGTCTACTGTATATAGGTATACATATATCTACTTGCGACGTAAGGTAACTACGCCTCTATCTCTTGTAACATAAGCTGTATATTTCGTATCACGACCTATTGTTATCGTTATTTATGTTTCGATTCCGTATTTCGGCGCGAAGAAGCGCGAAGTGAGCGGGAAAGAATCTGCGATCCCGAGATGAAATCCGAGTTTTTTCGATGGATCTCAACTTTCGAAAATTCAATGATCCGACACTTTGCGCCTTCTCCGCGAGCACCTTAAAGGGTTATTATCGCCGCGGCGATTAGTTAGTTAGTGTAGAGCGTTATATTGTTAATGCTTGTGTTGTGAAGAACGCATACACCCATTGCTGTGCAAGCTCTGCTCCCTTGTAAATAAACCCTAATAAACTCTTGTACCGAGCGTACCGTTCCGAATATCTCCTCTGGCCATCGTGCGTTTATTTCTCGTTATTCGCGAAGACCATTTTATTTAAGTTGGACGATTTTGAAAGCTTTATGCGAATTTTGGAAAAATTATAAATCTCCAAACGTATTTTTAACAATCTATAATCTGTGCAAAAATCTATCTATATAATTGCTTATCAAATAAGAATTATTTGCTATTATAGATTATTTATCGTCAGCAGCGCAGATATTACTCTCCGAACAAATTGCTCCAGCATCTATTTTCTCATACCTTTCTGGCGTGGGTAAATTTGTATTTCCGAGGTAAGGAGCCATTATTACAAACGCAGTGATTCTGCCCAAGCTGGCGTGTACACGCTTAGGCAAATGTTGTTGGTTCTGTACGGTTAACCAGCTACAGGATGCCCCGTTTAAAGGCATCATCACGCGATCCTCAAGCCGACCGTGCGATTAGGGGATGAAGGAGTCGCCGACTGTGCTGGGAAAGTGAGACGGGTTGACCGCCGACGCGTCACGAGATCGCGCTCTCGTAAATGCTCGTCGTTTCCGGCGATGGACATTTTTATTAGCACACATTTCTTATATTTATCGTGTTGCAAAACACTGATAACCACATACAACCGTATTCAAGAATATATGCGAGAGAATTAAATATTTAAAAAATCCTTTAATATCATAATGTAAGATATAAATTTGTATAAGACAAGCGGCTTTTTTAAATAGTTTCTAAAAAACTCCATATCTTTAACGTAACATTTAAAGATATTTACTTATTTGACATTTTATTTATTGCATTTATTCTTTTTCGAAAGTTGATAAACGTTGCAAATTTTACGATGGCGTCGATTGAAAAAATTAAAATTGATTAAATATGTTGAACTTCCATGCGCTTGGGTGAAATTTACTGTTCACTGAAATATTCGCTTATTAATTTGTCGAGCGCGATGATTGTGTCGTGGGCAGGCTGAATACATTTCCGTCGTTATGGCTATTCGTATCAGGTGGACATTAGAATGAATAGACATGCAACCGGCTGATTTGCCGATCCATTCTTCGGCCGTAAATTATGCGTCGCGTTTGCTACGAAAGGACATTAATGGGACGAGGAGAATTTAATACAGAGATCTCATTACGAAACGGAAAAGGGGAAAAAGCGACGACATTGAAAATGTTTCTCGTTTTGATTATGGCCTGTCTCGTCATAAAGCATGCGTTTGCGATCGCACCTTCAAAAGATCGATGCACAAGTTTTTTTCCTACTCATTAAAATGAAATTACCCACATTACTCTCAAATAACTTTACGATTGAGAGTATAATTTTCAAAAAAACATCTCGAAAAGACGTTTAAAGGCATCTTAATCTCTCAGATATTCTTCACAAAATTCTCTCTTATTTTCAAGATTCTCCTGTTATTATATTTTAAATATTTAATGTGAGACACATATATAAATTTTAACATAATTTCTAAATCGCCGCGTCTTTCATGTAAATAAAATATGTATTACACAGGATTGCAATAACTTTGCGCGTGTGACAAATTATATTTTTATACATATTTCCCACAGAAAATCATTGTTGCAACTTTAAATCGAAGAAAATTCAGGCACTTCGTTCCTTTAACGTAATTCCTGCGGAGAACTGTAATTCCAAGAGAACGGCGCGTTATCCTGGACAGGAGGCGGACGGTTTCATCAGGCCTGGTCGGTCCCGCAGGACACACCGCGAGAAACCGCCGTCGCGAGAGGTGGCGTTTTAATGCGGAATGAAGGCATTATAAACCCATTAGCCAGTGGGCCGAGCCCGTTCGCTTTTGCGTGCGAATGTGCGCGCACATTGCCGCCGCTCTTTATTTAAATACACAAAACATTAACGGCTTTGCTCGTCCTGAACCGTACCCTTGGCGCCGATGTTGCTCGCATCCTCCTCCTGTCGGGAATTTTTTTCCTCAAACGACGGTTGGTCCCTTCCTTAATTTCTCTGCCCGTCGTTAACCATATCCGATAAGTTTCTCAATTTACTTAATTCGAAGCTTGTGTGTATAAGTACGTTAATTTCTTTTTGACATTCAGGCCATATGCTAGATATATTTTTACGGAAAAATGTTGAATTCTTTGGAAATGTTTGATCTTTCAGCTCAATAATTGTTATTTTATTTTACATAACTCGTATTACATACTAGTATTTAGAGATTTTATACCGTACAGTATTCGCATTAAAGTAACACATCCCTTTAGCTACAACGTACAACGTGTAGTCTCGTTTTTGCTTTGTATTTACTGCATTTCCTTGATACCTCGATGCACTCATCTTACTCCGTGCCTTATTATGTTAATTTGTACTTTACAATCTAATTCCTTGTAAAATCCCTCGAGGGATGATTTGTAAAATATTCTTGCTCTTCTCTCTCTCTCTCTCTTTATCTCACTTTTCTCTACCGACTCTGTTCGTTCCTCTTCTCTCCTTCCCTCTTTTTCTCTCTTTTTGTCTCCTTACACCCTCTTCCTTCAAGGGATATTGCGTCAGCCTTAATAACAACTTGCTTAACCGACTCACGGCATCGTTCATCCAGCGTGTCTGTTAAATCGTTAATTATCCCCGCGAGAAGGTGAGATCAGAGAAACAACGACTGGAAGGACGAGGAAGTAAGAAGAGCCAGACCTTTGTAAGAACAAATGCAGAGAAGGAAAGAGTCAGTTGGCGAACGAAGGAAAGCAATGTCGAGGGTCCAGGACGAAAAACGGCGACGATCGAGTCGTTTCGTCCTTTTTTTCTTGCCTTCCCTCTGTCCCATCTTCTCTTCTCCTTGTCTTTCGTACCTTCTGGAAGCTGCACCGCGGTGAACGCCCACTTCCTGGCTGATGCACGACCACTTTATTCCGCGTTTGAGAGCGAAAGGGGCACAAAAAGGTATGGCGAAGAAAAGGAGTAAGAAAGTGGAAAAAGGGAGAAGGAATAAATAGTCGTTTTGCCTAATCTCTTCGGTAATATTCTGAGAATTAACGAGTCGCGATGAGAGACAAGACAAAAAAAGAGGGATAGAGTAAAAGGATGAGAGGGAAGGGCAGAGAAGAGGGTTGCTAGCATCTAGGATCGGCATTAATTATGTTATTGCTATAGGTGCCAACAACTTGATTATCAGATTTTGATCAAATCCCAATCATCTATACGATTACATCGGGATTTCAAACACGAGCGAGGCATCGATTCCCTTTTGGATATCGATATCTTGGTCGATTCTTGTAACTCTCCTCGATTCTCTCATAAACTTACATCGTAAGAATTAATCGATGTTTATTTATAGAAGTCTTAATAATGTATTATTATTATTATTATTATTAATCATATTTAATATTTTAATTAAATGAATTACTTATGATTGTTATAAATATCTGTGTAACGAGAGTTAAAGAAAAATGAATTTCACATTTATCAATGGATTTATTATTATTTTATCTCTTTCTCTATTGATTATATAATATATTATACGCAAAATTAACACAAAATTATTCTCTCTCTTCCTCTCTTTCTCTCTTTCTCTCTCTCTCGCTTTCTCTTTCCGATATTATATTTATTTTAATTCTCATCAAGATTTTTTTACTTTTGGAATTAAAAATTTTTGAATTTTGAAAAAATAGAAAGTAGAAAAAAATAGAGAAGCGTAAAATTTTCCTTTAGAAAGTGTGACTGGAAAAAAAAGGAAGAAATACACGCACATATATAAATTATTCCTTTGTATTCCTTTGATTTCTTCCTTTGAGAAAGTATGGTTAAAAAAAAAGCATAAATAAGTCCTTTCCCCGAAAGAATACGCGAAAGCGTGCGCCCTGGAGGGCGGACGGAGGCGGGGGAAAAAGCAACAATCGCTGTGAAATAAAATGGCGGTCCGGCGATGCCACCGGTATCGATTTGGTCCCGACGGCACCCACCGTCGTACGTGCACACCCACACGTTACACGTGTGTGTACAGTCGCCGTTCACCTCCCTCTCCCCCTTCCCCCTCGCAATCGCGTAGGTGCGAACCGCAGGGCACGAGGGCGCCGTTTCGCGTGCGCGCGGGCGGGGGAGAGGGGATGATGGCGGGCGAGATGGCACCCGATCGGCCGGTTATTAACCAGCGCGTGTCGCGCCCCGCATTTGCGCGTTCCCTTAAGCACGTATTAATTGATCGAATTAATTCGTCGACTAGCGACGTGCCGGGGAGGGGCTCCGCGGGGAGGCCCCCAAATTTGACAAGGCGCAAGGCAGTTGTCGTCGACCGGAGAAATGTCATCGAAACATCCTCGCGCGACGTCCTCGTGGCGAAAAATTATACGCAATCACACGTATCGAATAAAAATCGATAAACGCGTCTGACTCTCGTATAATAAATGGAGTAGGAAGAGTGACGGTAGTTTTAATTCTCTACAGCTTTCGCATTAGCGATAGCGAGGATACAATGAGCGTGATAACATTATCGCTTTCGCTGAAGTACCACTCGTGCGAGAACAATATGAGTTTACTACTTCATAATAGATTAGTTTAAATTAATAGGCGGTACGTTACACGCGAATATGACGAGATTGGATAATTGCCTGGTGCACTTTAACGTAGTTTGAAAACTTAATCTATCTAAGTCTGTCATTTTTACACATACAAATATCCACTTACGTGATTTTATAATTGTAATATACATTCAGCACTTGAAAAATAAGTTATGTTTAAGCGATAGTTAATGTTACATTGTAACTGATATGTTATAATATCTCCAAAATTATTTTTTTATATTATTTTGTTATATTTTAAATAGTATCTGCACGTGTGCTAACTATTTTAACTTAACAACGTTAACTATTTTGAATAATACTAAAAAACTCAAAGATAGAGTGGCTAATTAAAATTTAAATCTCTTGTAACGTCAAACGGTTCAAAAACATCGGCGTTGAGATACGCATCGGTAATTTCTCGACGAAGCAGAACTTCATTAATTAGATTCTCACTCCGAAAAAAAACGATGAACGTGTGATCGGTCCT